CATTCCTGGAGGTTGTCTCGGGCCACAGCCTCGCTGCCACAGAATAGGCCCAGGTGCGATCTTCCACTGGGATGATGAGATGACCCAGGACAGGGCCTCAAGCAGACCCCAAAGTAAGAGATCAGGCAACTTTTAAGGGAAAGGGAGACAGACAAACACAGCAAAAGAAATAGCCCCTTGGGGTACTGCCCTGGACATCCAAAATGGCTCAGGGAGCTTCTCAGTGAGGCTACCTTCTGAAGCCACCCCACCGGCTCCAGCCTGGGTCATCAGAACACCTGTGACACAATCTCTCTCACCTCTGGTGATACAATTGGGAATATGCCCCAAGGCCCACAGTGGGATTATGGGGACAAAGGAGTGGGACAAAGGGTGGGACACAGTGCTAGCTGGACAGCCTCAAAACACACGGGAGGACATCTCACAGAGGGAGCCCAGGACTCACCATGGAGGCCAGATGGGAAGACTCTTTTCTTCACAATCTCTGGTGGCCCCATCTGGACCCACAGTTGCTGAACTGCAGCAGACACAGATGAAAGCCATGAGGTGGGGGATGGGAGAGTGGCAGTGTGAGCCCTGGTGATGTGGGGGCAGGACACTCAGAGGCTAAAGGGATGGATGATGTGGCAACCAGATGAGAAGCAGAACGATTAGTAAAGATAAACCAAACTGCATGGAATGCAAAGTGAGTCCGGGAGGAGCCATCAAGGCCCCAGACCCTCCCAGGCCACATGAGGGCCATGGAGCAGGTGCATAAACATATAACATGCAGTGGCCGGAGACCTGGCACCGTGTTCTTATTCCTCTGCAGCAGACACAGAAAACTTCCTTACCTTCCTGATAAACAAGGCCATTGCTGTTCTGAGTTTTTACCAAGGAGGGGGAAGGAGAGCAATCATGCCACCTTGGGAGACCAGGTCCAGCCCCACAGAATACCCGCAACTCTGCATGCACTAGGAAGGCTCACCAAGGCCAGGGCTGGAAACCACCAAAGGAAACACAATTGGGAAATAACAAATCCTAACCATTTAACTGCAGATGATCCCAGGGCTACGTGTGGAGCTCTTAAATGAGACCTCACCAAGAAAGAAGTCACATCAACAGTATTGACCTGTGTTAATACTAATAAAAATCTCAAATACAGAATAAATTATTTGTTAAAAAAAATACTAGAGGTAACATAAAGTTAAGACTCTCAACTAGATTCAGGAGAAAATTAAAGAAGGCAGTGGCCCAGGTCTTGGGAAAAGCTGCATTCAAAAAAAGAAAAAGGACTAGAACAAAACAACTCCTATTTGCTTCCAACATATCCATTAAGAAGTATGATCTATGAATCACAAATCCTAAAACACAAGACAAGAAGAAAACAATCAGATGGCCTCTGACTGCTGGAACCTCACACATTCAGGACTCAGATAAACACCTCAGGGCATCAAAACAACTGTCCCCACAGAATCTTAGAAAGGCTGTCAAACCTGAAAGAT